CACCTCAATCCCATTTATTTGATGGCCTAAATATTCGACCTCCATTACACCCAAAATGCTTTTCTCTTTACTGGCTCTCAAGCCTTTACCATGAATTCTTTTAAAAACTTCCTCCAAACGACATTTATGCTGCTCAGGCGTCATCCCTGTAATTAGCACACATCCATGTAATAAAATACACCCTCTAGTCCTTGGAAAACGGACGCCATGATGCGCTGAAAAATAGGTGCTGACACACTTAACCCAAATGGTAATCTACAAAAAGCAAACAACCCTTTAGGAGTCGTGATCGTCAATAATTTACGAATCTCCTCCCTCAAAGGTAATTGTAAATAGGCTGACGAAAAATCAACTGCGCTCCCTTCAACTGGGCCAAAATTTCCTCAATTCGGGGTAAAGGATATTTAACTTCTGCTACCCATCGATTAGCGGATACTCTCAAATCAGCACAGAGTCTCAATTTACCATTTGATTTCTTAACCGGTACCAACAGGGTTGCCCATACACTATATTCCACTGGAACAATAATACCATCTTTAACCCATTGATCCAATTCTTCGTCAATTTCCTTTTTCCAAACTCGACGACACGCTAGGAAGATAGGTGCAAATCCCTCCCTTAATTTTATATCCACCTGATAGTCATTAAGACATCCTAACTTGTCTTCAAAAATTACTTCATACCTTTTAATTAAAAGAGAAATATTTTCACGCATTTTATGTAAATCATGAATACCAATAGCAACCATTGGGTCTTTATTAATGCTAGCATTGTTTTCAATCATAAGTTCCGTGGAATTTATCACAATTATATAAAGTCATTAATGACAAAACTCAAAAAGGAACTACGAAAACGAAACAAAGAAAACTTACCCCAATCAAATATATATTAAAAAAAACTCCCTAACTTACAGAAAGACCTTCTTACTAATTCTTAGACTTGGTAAAATTTCCACAACAGATGATTACAAACGGTTTTTATTTAAAATATTCAAATTATTTAAAATCATAAAAATTATTTTATTATTTAAAAAAAGAATTTATCATCGTAAAAAAAAATAATAAATGTAAAAAAAAAATGTATATAATTTACAACAATTAATTATTGCTATTTTTTATTGATTGAGATTAAAGTTCCCTTTTAGCATTAACATTATAATAGGCAGCAAAATGGCCAAAGTCTATCCTATGCATAGTGTTCAATTAGGGAGTTTCGGATATTGAAAAAATAAAGATGAGATAGTTGTATTTTACTATGTTTATGGCTAATCTTTGGCGTAGGTAGAATCCCTCGTTGGGATCCTCGGTCCTAGTAGAGATCCGTTTTCCCAGCTCTTTAAAGAAGGCCAGGGCATGAGAGCCGAACGACGTTAGAGTCGTGGCGATTAATGGTAGGAATGTATAATTGGCGGGAAGAGATAGCGAATATTTAGCTAATTTATTCGCCTCGGCATCTAGTATGACATCTCTATTTATATTGGAAGGGGCAAGAGGATCGATGCATGAGAAATCCCAGGTTAGGAATTCCCCTTCTTCTAAGGGATCATAGTCGAACCATCGGGCCGCTTACCGGAATTGTAAAGGCCAGTAGGTTCGAGGGTTGATGGGATGCCGGCGGATTTTAAGGTCCTGGCAATGGTATCATTGCATTTTGAATGCCTAATGAATCTGCCTCTACAGCGCTTGCAGTGTAGAGAGTGACGGCCTTTGGAGTTGACCGACGTTTGACAGAGGATACAGTGATAAGGCATTACCATATCGTAATTAAGTCTAAGACCGATGGCGTGACGTAGTTCATCATTGCTTAGGAGCTGGTCAAGATTTCGCGATGGGAAAGCCTCAAGAAATTCGTATCCACTACCTGCGGAAATGGAGAAGAGTAGAGAATGGTCCTCTGGCTGGCTTCTCGTTTTAAGGAATGCAACGGAGTTTCCAACTAGAGGTTTATCCCAATCTTTCTGTAGTACGATGGAGGATCGACTAATAAGAGGGATTTCCATAGATCAATTGCCTGTAGGAGTAAGGGGTCAGGATGTTTGGTGAGTGTTTGTATGATGGGCTCACAGGACAGGCGAGAGGATATGAGCGCACTAACCAAAAGTAGGGAAGGTGACCTTATACCAATGCCGCCGGATTTGGTTGGTAAGGTAGCCTGTAACCATGATAATTTCCTAAATTAAGATTTAGTATATCTTCTGTAAGGCGTTTAATCTCCAGTTCGTGTGCAGCGAGGTTGAACGTCATATTGAAAGATCCGTGACGATCGAAGTGTATACAAAATTCTTGGAATTAGAAGGTAGTTTTTTAATAAGTAGAAAGCTTGGTGAGCTGGGAGGCGAGATAGTGTATCGCGCATAAGGGATATCTCTCGTAAAATATCGGCAAAGAACTTGATAAAGGACTCGTCTTTACCTACTGGAGATCCAAGATGTGTTAAAGCGTTCAATGGTGTATGATTGAACATAGTATCGTGGTTGAGGTATCCCAAGAGGACAATATTCTTTGTCTTGATTAACTCGAAGTCCCAAACTTTTCTCGCTGGATTTTATTATTTGGATTGCCTTCTTCAGTCGGTGGGCCGCTTAGTATACCATCGTCGATATACCAATTATGAAGATTTAGCTTGCATTGGTCATTAATGTCTCGTATTAGACTATTAATGCCCAGACAGAACAAAAAGGAACCTAGAGGGTCACCTTGTTGTATCCCATCGCAAGAAGGAATCAATCTATCTCCGAATTAAAGATGCGAGGAATTAGCATAACAATCGAAGATAAATTGTGAGTATTCTGGGTGATTTAGAAAAGCTCCACGCCTTAGAGAGTTAAAGGCGTTCGAGAAATCTATTTTGACTAGGATATCGTTGGTGGGGTCCGTTTGCAGATACATCCGAGTCATGTGAAGGGATACCTCACATCCACCTTTTACGTTGACCCCTAATTGATTTGGGCAAAAGTGATTGGATATTGTGAACAATACTCTGCTAACTACTAGCTTGGCAGTTAATCGGGGCCAAGTGGTTCCAATAGCCATTGGGCGAATATCTTTATTGGGTTTATGGAGAGCGATGAGTTTAGCTCCGTATAGCAGTGGAATAATGGTGGGTGGTATGCCTTCAGTAATCATACGGTTGATTAATTGGGTATTTTTTTTCTAGAACGTCACATTGTTGTGTTATGTAAGGTGCGGTTAGGTCTTGTAGGAATAATGGGCTAAACTCATCGAACCCAGGTGAGGAATCGCGTTTAAAGGAGAGAATAGCCTTTCTAACGTCGCTTGCGGTATAAGTGGCAGCAATTAGAGGAGTTTCAGGGTAAGTCGGTCTTTCATTTTTAAAAATCGCGTGAGTTGTATTTTAGGAGAAGAGCCTGATAAGTTGCTAGATCGTAAGGAGCCGGCTTATTGACGGAGGTTGCCAGACGTATGTCAGATTTAACATTCAGGTTATCCAATTTTTTAGATATTAGCCTGGTCTTGGTGAGCAGGTCATTTTTGTGATTTATATTTTTATCTGTGTCATCACTTGTAAAAGATGTGATACTGTGTTTGATGGGTAAGGGGTAGATAGTAGCATCCTTAATTTGTTGGGTTAGGAATTTTTTGCTGGCAGGGAACTTGTAAGGTAGTAAAGGCAAATATCAGGGTATCTAGCCAGTGTTTTACAGAAGAATAATTATTTAACAAGGAAGTCAAGTTTTTCGACAGGTGTCTCGCAACTTGAATCCTTGCTCCTTTAGGTATTGTGAAATTACAAATGGTATTGGTGTCGTTAGAAATATTTCTACATTTGAGTCAGTTGGGTCAAACGTCAAAGCATTTGTGACAGTGGAGGTAGGGATATTGGGCTAGTGAGCACATCAGCCAATAATGTGGGAATGGTGACTATGGGTTGTTTAGTTGTGAGGGCAAGGGCAGAGAAGGTATTAAGGGTTCTAGGAATTGCTGGTGATAAGATGGGTAGCCCAGATTGAGGACACTTTATTTTATGGTTACGATGAGATGGCAATAGCCCCAATTTGGTTACTTTATAAGTTTATTACATAATGGGCAGTTACATTTGGTGTGCTGTGCTGAGGTCTGGTAGGCTCATGGATTAGGAATTTTTATCATATTTAGGGTGAAGGTGAATATCATTATTGTTAAAAATCACAGATGTGTTTATGGATAAATCTATGTATTGTTCTTTAAATTAAAATTCATATAAGTAGAGTGTGATGAAATTTTTGCTGACAGTTGCCATAAATTATACAATTTTTCTATCTGGAATATTTCTATAATTTTCATTTTCCATCTTCAAATCAGTTTATTATATGTGATCATGATATGAAAGCTTTGATTGCAAAAAAGGGTTTCATAAAGGGGTAAATATCATTAGTAATATAATTATTGTATTGTGGGAATTGTGATGAAGAGGGAGAAATACTGATGGTGGGTGGAATCAGAGTGTGTATACTTAAACATTTATATCAGCCATAATGCTTATTTTTATAAGTAAAAAAATTTAAACATTACAAATCTACGCAATAGTAAACCATTTTTTAAATTATTTTATTACATATTTGATAAAATATTTTCTAAATTTTGTAAAGATATTATATAGAAACGAAAAATTATAATTCATTACTTTTTTTTATCTTGAATTTTTTTAAAATAAATTTGGTTAACTTAATTCATACAATTCATTACCAATACTCTTAAAACTGTGATTCCCATATTTTTATTTCCCTTGTTAAATAATATATATTATGATTAATTTATAAACTGGAACAAACCAATATAAATTTTTTCAGAGATAACCAGAATAGAACTAAACCGTTGTAAAATTTAAAATTGGCTCGAATGTTGAACTTTGCTTACCGATCGACACCCTTATTACAAGGCTGATGTCAGGTCTAATGGACCGAACTCACTAAATCATTTTGAAATGCTAATCATTACGCTAAATGACATTTAACAATATTGGAAAAAAATATGGTAAATGTATATCATGTCTATTTTTAGACGATTATAATATTAATACTACGATAACATCTTCCACGCCAATATCTAAACGGCAAAGATGCTCAATAAACGATGATATTAGTGTAAACTCATCTCAGGCTATAGAAAGCGATGATATTTTGTCGGTTTCTGGAATATTTCCCGCTTTGTACAATAGTAAAAATTATAAAAAAAATTGTTTTTTATGAATGCACTTATTTTATAATGATTTTTTAAATGTACTTAGTTCTTTTTCTCTAGGAATTAGAATTTAAAATTTTACGACCCAAGCCCGCTCCGAAATTTTAACTAATTTTGAAGCCCGCATTTTTTTTTATGGATTATGGACGAATAAGGCCCGGCCTGAAACGAATTGCTTTATCTGTATCATAGATAAATTATCATTTTATTTTGATAAAACAGAAAATATAATTTTCTCCTTTATTTTTTGGATTTTTTTAAGCCCGGCCCTATATTTAAATTTTTTTAGGTCCGATCTCTCTCCGAAATATTTTGAATGATTGGCTTACATGACTCTATTGTAAAGCAGGGGCTATACATAAACGCTTTTATGTTTTAAGGATTAAGTGTGTGATATCCACAAGGATATCTACATCTTATCATTTATTTAATGTTTATGATAAAATTCAGTTCTTATTTTTAATTTCAAGTAAGATAATATACCTACCTTTAGTATTGTTAAAAAGTCCGATATGGGTTAATTTTTAAAAACGGCCCGATTTAGATTTTAGCCAAAATAATATGATGTAAGTCTGCGGATATTGCTCATAGATGTCAGAAATTTATTTGTCAAATCTCGAGGCTTACAAGATATCATTTAGGATAAAATCGACCCGAATCGGGCTTTTTATCAACACGACCTACCTTTATTTTAAAAATCTCGAATAGAAGCATCATTTAGCTATATTGATCTTATTGTAAATGAACTAACGCAGAGTTTATAAACTTATCTTTTATCATGAATGATTTAGAATATGTTTATGCTATATCCGATTTAAAAAAAATTAAGCATTACATTAAAAATGTTTTCTATATATCGGATTTAATTTATAATATAAACTGCATGATAAATATAACCTTTAAATTATTATATTAAATTATCATTTTAATAAATCACAAGAATGCAAATCTTTGAAAATAAATCTTCAAAGTGAGAATGATAAAATAACCCACAATGTTAACGCTGTTACTAAAGCTCAAAAATTTGTGTTATTGCAAGTAAATATCATATTCATTATGTATTAATAAAAAAAAATAGGAATTTTGCCAAACTCTTGATTTATCACTGCGGGAAATTTTGGAATTTATAATAGACCAAGCTTAGATAAAATTACTATAGAAATGTTATCCTTGATATTTTTAATTTGTTAGTTATTCTTAGCGATATATTCGATTGCTATTAATTTTTATATAAACGTTTTATTTATAACGATATAAAATATTAAAAAATTCACAACAAAAAGAATGGACTCCTTTTTTGACATCAATAATAACAACGGTAACAAAATTGATATTAAAAATTATTTTTATTAAACAATAAATTATAAGATTTTAGGTATAATATAAATTATAGAATTTTTTTGAAATAGGTTTGCCTTAATAGAAGTATTGTTTAAGCAAATATTTACCAGAATATCCAAAAAATGATGTAAAAGTCACTAAATAATATAAACATATTTTTTCTTAAAATCAAAGTTCTAAATATAGTATTTCTTATCACTAGGGGTGTACTGATACTACTTTTTGAAGGTCGATCCGATGGGCCCGCTATTGATGTAGGGATACGCTAAAATAGGCAAAATAGAGAGAAGGATATTTTTTTTGTAGTTTTTGAGGCGAGATTATTTTCTTGGAACTGGATCGTTCAAAAAAAAAGATGAAAAACATAGTTATTTAATAAAATTATGAGTTATTTATTATATAAAAGAATGACTAAAATATTCGCCATAGCGCTTCTTTAATATTTTTAATAACTTTAACCGAATATTTCCATAATTTATATCTATCATGAGCAGACCTATGACTAATCCGCCACTTTTTAATATATGGAGAAGAATTTCATTGATGACTGAGAAGAGCTGATCATCATTAAACTATAAATATGTTTTTTATATCATAAGGCTTGCACTCAAACCTTTTAAACAAACATTCATATAATCAAAGCAGCGCTTCACCGTTCGGCAGTACTATACAAAATTGTGAAAATACATCTTCGGAACTCTTTCAAGTCACGGAGGCTCTTATTACTCTCATTATCATTTATTGCGAGATCCACATTGAGCTTTAGTCTGAAACAAAATCGTTTAAATTCTTCCCTGTAATTAATATGAGGGTATCGGCCAAATAACTTTTCTAAATATTTCATATCAGATAAGATAACGAAATAGACAAAACAATATAATTTAGTATAATATTTTTAATTACTAGAATTGCCAGAAAATGCACCGATTAACTTATTTGCATATTGCCCTTTAAGGTAGTAATCCATCCCTTTAGAAATTTATCACTTTTCGTGAATATCATTTTAAGCTAATGAAAAATATCCCCCTTAGTCCTCCCCCCACTCCCTGACCCTCAAAAATATACGCATATATCTTAAAAATTATTTGAAAGAGAATATAAAAGGTGACATTATAAAACTATTCATCATAATTTATACATTCTTGGAAAAAAGCATTTATATATATAAAGTGAACCAAAAATGTTTTTTAAGAAATGGAATATAAGCTAAAGATTGAAATGCATTATAATTATTAATAATAGATCCATAAAATTACTAAATAATATAATATATCAAATATAATTTTTTATGAAGTGAGTAATTTAAATTATTTATCTTAATAAAAGTAAAATATAATTATAAAATTATTGATAAAATTAAATCATAATTTAAATAAAAAAATTATAGCACAATACAAACTAGGCCTTTCAAAAACGAATTCGAATCGAATAGTTTACTATTTGAATTCGTACGAATAATAAAATCTACTATATGTATTCGATTTGAATTATTCGAATTAATTTTTTTAATAAAATAAATCATACTCAAATATATTGACAAATTTTTTTATTACAAATTTGATTTTAAACAGAAAAATTTATAATAATATGTAATCAATAATCTGATAATAAATAATATATAATCAAGTTATAAACAAAATTAAAATGTTTATTATTAATTTAATTTATAATTTAAGCCAATTTTTAAGACATAGAGTTCTTCTTTCATTTTCTTCCTTATATGACATGCGGTTTTTTGACAATAAATTAGTTCCAACTGAGAAAAACCTTTCACAAGCAGTTGATGTTCCTTGTATAGATAAATAATTCCTTGCCATTTTCGAGAGCATGGGGATCCGATATGCATTTGCCTTCCACCACATACGAATCATTCTAATAATGTTTCTTAGTTTTAGAATTGAAGGATCTAAAATTTTTAAAATTTCTTTGGATATTAAATTAATTACATGGGCAAAGCATCGGATGTGCCCTATTTTTATTAATGGATATTTTAATGAAAATGTTTTATTATTAGTTGCATTATCTAAAGTTATATAAAAATTTTTATTCTCTAAATTAGAAATTTTAATTATTTTAACAAAGGCTTTAAATATATTTTCACCTGAATGTGTTTCATTTATTGGACTGACATCCAAAATTATGTTATTTATTTTAAAATTATTATCAATAAAATGGGCTGTTAGCCCTAAAAAAGGAACCTGTGTTGCTAGTCCAAATGTCAGATGAAAAATTAATCTGACTTTTAATTTTATATATTTTTCCTTTACCAACTGTTCTTTTTCTGCAAATATATTATACATGTGCAATTTAAGAGTATTGGAGCATATTGATTTTACAGAACAATCAAGATCACTTATAAAATTTTTAAAATCATTTGAATTAATAATTTTAAAAGGTATATTATTATTTATCAATATTTAATAAATTATCCTTAAAATTAATTTTTTAAAGAATTTGATGTAGACTTTAAAAAAATGTCAATTTTTTTTTACTAAGATGTGAATGAAAACTATTATAATGATTAATAAGAGGAGAGGTTGTTTTGTCTTTACATTTTATAATACTCTTGCAATGATTGCAAGCAGCCTTTTCACCGTCTTTAAGGATTTGATATTGATCCCATATGATTGCTCTCTTTTGTGAGGAAATTTTCTCATCTTAGCATAATTTCATCAGAAGCATTCTCCTCTAACATAATTAGGTTAGCTAACAATAATTATTGTTAGAGATGTAATATATTTTTATATACCTCTTGTTTGTTTAATTTTTAATATAATTTATTATGAGATTCAAAAAATAAACTTTTCGTGAGATTCAAAAAATGTGGCAAATAAAAATTTAAATTTAAATTTGTGCTAAAATTTTTATAAACACATCACCTGTCAGATTGGCAGGTCAACAAATAGAAATGACGAATGCTAGATTTATTAAAGAATTTATTAAATATTACGGATAATTCGTTTTATTCGAATAATTCGTTTTATTCAAATCGAATAAATGATTATTCGTATTCAGATAAAACAAATAATTTATTATTGGTATTCGTAATTATTCGATTAGATTTGAATTAATCGATTCGAATTATTTTTGAATAGGCCTAATACAAACAGTAGAATATTATATGTAGTAGATTTACAGTATATCTAATTTTATCAATTATCATATGACAATCAAATTTTTACCAATATAGCGAATTATATATTTTATATAAAATATTGATAAGGACATCAGAAAATATATTTTAAAGACATTGTGGGATTTGTTGCTATATTTATTATCAAGAGCATTTATTAGTAAAATTTGTTAAAATATTGATTAGTAAAATTTGTTAAAATATTAACTGTAATATATTCTAACTGTCAAATATATCTGAAAAAGTGGAATTTTACTTAGTATTTTGTAACTAATTCTATATAATATAGGAATATAAACTATATGTCTACTTTTTATAAATAAATTTCTTATACTTGTTTGGAATAAATTATTACCATGCTTTTATATTAATGTATATACAAGTAATTTATTATATTATATATAAACTATTAAAAATATATATCATATTTGTTTTAGGTTTATTTTTTTTATTAAAATTAACCTATCTTGTAAAAATATTTTATGACTATATATAGACTAAGGTAACCCGGCCGAAGCCCGGGCAAAAGCGGGCCGAAGGCCCGCCTAAATGGGGTCTGGGGGCGAAGCCTCCAGTATTCTCCCCCCCCCACCCCCCTACGCCTATGTGCAGGAGTAATTTTTTCTTCAATATCACTAATCCAAATTTATTTATTTTCCTAGCATAAGTTATTGGATATTTTTTAAAATTGATTTAAGAAGAATCATTAATTTATATGGACATTCTTGTGTTTTAATTTTATTGACTTAGTTTAGTGGTGAGTTTTCTTTTGTATTTTGTATCACGAAAAGAAAGACAATTTTATTTTTATAATTATAAAAGATAATATACAGTAGGCCTATTCAAAAAAAATTGAATTGAATAATTATGAATATGAATAATAAACTATTTGTTTTATCCTAATACGAATAATTATTTATTCGATTCGAATAAAACGAATTATTCGGAACATTTAATAAATTGCTTTTATAAAATCTAACGTTTGTCATTTATATTTGATGACCTACCAATCTGACAGGTGATGTGGTTATAAAAGACTAGCACAAATTTAAAAAATCTCTGAAGTGAAAGTTAAAGCAATATTTAAATTCTTATTTGCCGTATTTTAAATCTCACGAGAAGTTTATTTTTTGAATCTCATAATAAATTATATTAAAAAATTACACAAACCAAAGGTATATAAAAATATAATACATGTTACAATAAATTATTGTTAGTAGCCTAATTATGTTAGAAGATATTGCTTCTAATGAAATAGTTATGCTTGATGTTGAAGTTGACAAAATTTTTTCACAAAAAGAGCGATTATGTGCGATCAATATTAAATCACTAAAGACTATGAAAAGGTTGCTTGCAATATTGCAAAAGCATTATAAAATGTAAAGGGAAAACAACATCCCCTCTTATTAATCATTATAAAATTTTATTCACACTTAGGGATTACCTATCTATACAAGGAAGATCAACTGCTTGTGAAAGGCTTTTTTTAGTTGGAACTAATTTGTTGTCAAAAAATTGCATGTCGTATAAGAAAGAAAATATAAGAAAAACTTTTTGCCATAAAAATTGGCTTAGAATTATGAATTAAATTAATAATATAATTTTAATTTTGTTTATAACTTGATAACATATTTTTTATTATCAGATTATTAATTACTTATTTTTTATTATTAGATTATTGACATATTTTTTATTGTCAGATTATTATAATATTTTATCTGTTTTAAATCAAATTTGCAATATTGTCAATATATTTGAGTACAATATATTT